CATTCATATGAAACAAAAGTATAAATTACAATGTCTTGCCTAAATCTTAAAGCCTAAAAGAAACTCCCTTTTATGATTTGACCAAATGATCAAAAACCCATATGAAAGAACAAAGGCCAAAACAGGTAAGACTATGCAAGTGAAGAAAAACAAGACGAGGGACTTGCCCACCACCTATAAAGGTCACTGAGACTAGAATGTGGTATTGGTGCACAATAACTAGAGAACAGTACAGAAGAACAGAAAGCACAGACACAAGCCTCATAAAAGGAGATGTAGTGTATGAGGGAGAGAGTTCTCCAAAATAGTGGGGAAAGGATAAACAATTCAGTAAATAGCGATGAGACAAACTGATTATTGTCTACCCAAGCAAATCCTTCCTTGGACCTTACATAAAGACTGAGTCCAGGTGAATTAAAGACCTAACTGTGAAAATCAAAACTTCAGTAAAACTTTCAGAAGAAAATATGACAAAAATCCGTATAAATTCAGGGTAGAGAAAGCTTTCTTAAACAAGAAATATAAAAAGCAAGGGAGAAACCCTGGCCAGGTGGCTCAGCTGGTTAGAGCGTCATCCTGATACGCCAAGGTTGTGGGTGTGATCCCTGATTAGGGCACATATAAGAATCAACCAATGGCCCTGGCCGGTTTGGCTCAGCGGTTAGAGCGTCGGCCTGCGGTCCAGAGAGAGCCAGGTTCGGTTCCCGCTAAGGGCACGTACCTCAGTTGCAGTTTGTCCCTGGCCCTGGTCGGTCGTGCGGGTGGCAGCCACTCGATGTGTTCCTTTCACGTCGATGTTTCTCTCTCTCTCTCTCTGTTCCTCTCTCTCCCTCCCACTCTACCTGAACAAAAAATGGAAAAATGTCCTCAGGTGAGGATAAAAAAAAAAGAATCAACCAATGAATGCATAAGTAAGTGGAACAACAAATCAATGTCTCTCTCTCTCTCCCCCCCTTCTTCTCTCTAAAATAAATAAATATTAAAAAAAAAAAAAAACAAGGGAGAAAGTATCAGTAAATTAAAATTTAAATTTTCTTAATAAAAGACATCAGCAACAAGTAAAAAACAAAACAAAACAAAAAATTGGGACATATATTTGCAATTCTCATAACCAATGAAAGGTTAGTAGAGAACTATATGAAACACTAAATGTCAAGACAAAAACATAATCCTATGGAGTAAAAGTAATGAGGAGGCAATTTATAGAAAAAGAAAATGGATATGACCAAGAAATATATAAAATGATGCTGGACTTCACTAGCAATGAAGTTGAAATGAAATGAAAACAATACCCTATTTCACATCCACCAAATTGGCATAAATTTAAAAATCTGACAATACCCAGTGTTAATGAGAATGTGGAACAACAGAGACTTCATTCCACTGCTGGTAGGAATAAACTCTCCCACAAACTCTTAGAAGGGTGATTCTACTATCTAATATTTTGTAATTCTGCACTATCCACACTTTTAATAAGGAATTCCTCTTCCAGGTACAATCCCTGGAAAGTCTCTGTCATGTAAACAAGAAAACACAGATAAGAACTTTCACTACAATGTTGTCTGTAATAAAAAAACAAAAAGAGAAAAAGCTTCATGTCCATTAATGGGAGAATAGATTAAAAATGTGGTATATTCATACAGTGGAATACCATGTAGCTCTTGAAATTAATGAACTAAAGCTAGGAATATCACAAAAAATGCTGAATAAAAAGGTTACAAATGAAATGCAAAGAATGACACTTTCTATGAAGTTTGAAAACATGCAAAAACATACAATACATATTGTATACTTATATGTATAGTACATACAGTTGACCCTCGAACAACAATGGTTTGAATTGCATGGGTCCACTTATATGCAGATTTTTTCCCATAGACAATTTGAAAAAATTTGCAGACGAACCAGAGCCTAAAATAGACGACATAAACTTATGGTATTGATAAATACAGTATAGTACTGTAAATGTATTTTCTCTTCCTTATGATTTTCTTAATAACATTTTCCCTCTAGCTTAACTGCAAAAATACAGTATATAGCCTGGCCGGTGTGGCTTAGTGGTTGAGCATCGGCCCATGCATCAACAGGTCACCAGTTCAATTCCTGGTCGGGGCACATGTCCAGGTTGTGGGCCAGATCCCTGGATGGGGGCAGGCAGGAGGCAGCCAACTGATGTTCTCTCTCATTCATGTTTCTCTCTCTCTCTCCCTCTCCCTTCCTCTCTAAAATCAATAAAGGAAAAATAAAAATAAAAACAATATGGTATATAATACATATACAAAATATGTATTGTTTATGTTATCAGTAAAGCTTCCAGTCAACAGGTTATTAGAAGTTAAATTTTAGGGGAGTCATACAAAGATTTTCAACTGTGCAGCAGGTTGGTTCCCCTAACCCCCATGTTGTTCAACTTGCAACTGTATATTATAAAATAGTTTGTAGCTTTTTGGAGAGTGTTTAACTCTGAGAAAGAGGCAAAAGAATAGGACAGAACCTCCCTGTGTTCATGAATTGACTTAAGTACACACATGTTATAAATTTGAACACATAAAGTAAATTTGTATTACTTAAGTGTTATCAATATCTATTTTTATATTAGGGTTTCTTATAAAATAAAATCCCCAAGCTACCTCATTTTCAACTTCTAACATAACACAAACCAAAGACACAATACACATTCAAATTTCACTTGAAAGTCTCCTTTTAAGACAAAAGTTCCCACTTCAATCCACTGTGTCAGATTTTATAGAGATGGAATTTGAGGTAAGCTCTGTGGGACACAGTAGGTGTATCTTTAAGGAAGGAGATTTCAAGGCTGTTGAAAAAAGCAAACGTCTATCAGTGAACAGTAAATGGCAGAGGCAGAACCTGGCAAGAAAGGCTGCCTGGACTAGGTAAGGAGAAAAAAGATACCCAAATAGCATTGGAGTTAGGGAGAACAGACAAGTCACAAATCAGGAACCCATGTAGTGAGACTGGAAAAACTGGTACAGAATATAAGAAAATGACATTCCTTTCAACACTAACAACTATTTCTTCCTTCTGTGGCTCTGCCCCCCAAGTTACGCTTTTCCCTTAAAATCACTAAGAAGGTTGCACCAACCCAGGCTCCATATCAGGAACTCTATATTCCCCTTTAAGATGCAGGGCTGGGGTGTGTGTGTGTATTTTTGTTTTCATCTCAGCACATCTTCAAAGAAATTTTACTGAACAAAACAAAAAAATAAATCCAGATTTGAATAAATCCACTAAATATTTAGAGCTCTAATGCTACCATTCCTAGCATACCAATCGGGATTTGTAGGTTCTGACTCTGAAAAAAAAACAGGAACTTCCTAGCCTTTGGCCTGCTTCCATCTGACAAGTCATATTCCATCATCAACTTGCTGGGGACAGGGTGGGGAGGGAGGGGAAGGGGGGAATCAGTGGGGGAAAAAAAAGGAGAAACATCTGTAACAAAAATAAATAAATTAACTAAAAAATAAATAAATAAAAGTTACTGTTCTTGAAAAGGAAAATAAAATAAAATAAAAGTTGGATTCTGGAAAAAAAAAAAAAAAAGAAAGAAAGAAGTGTCTTCTTACATATCTTGACTCACTGAAGCTTTTCCTCTGAATCTGAGAAAAGGGTTTCTTCCCCACATGAATGATGTCAGAAAGACTGCTCATACCCTGGTGAGACTCTGTACCAACCAAAGGAAATTAGTTTCATCTGTAAAGCCCCTTAATTATAAAATGACCATATCATGCATATAGTAAGAGGTAAGGTTACTGTCTGCCGGTAGAAGGACTGTCAGAAAAGTAGGGGAGAAAGAGAAGACAGTGTCAACATCTGTACAGAGAAAGAGTCTGCCTGGAGGTTTTTGTCTTCCCCTCAGGGAAGATGACTGCTTTAAATAAAAAGAGTATGTAAATAAAGCATGTCATGTATTTCTAGTATTATAATAATCACACTATATGACAATTGCCTTTTTATGTGTGTATGTGTCCTCCATTAGACTGAGCTGACTGAGGGCAGGAATTCAGTCTATTTATTAAATTTTTGTGTCCCCAGAACTTAATACTGTACAATGTCTGACACATAGTAATTGTTCAATGACTGTTTGCTGAATGAAAGTTGAACAAAGATACGACAAAAGCCCTGGCCGGTTTGGCTCAGCCCTTGGAGGTCGGCCTTCGGACCGACGGGTCTTGCGTTCAATTCCGGTCAAGGGTCACGTTTTTTCACTCCACGAAGTCCTAAAACTCTGCCTAGGGTTCTGTTGACTACTACTACAAAAATCTTACTTAGCCAGTTTGTTTCACTTTTATTATAGTGCCCAAAATAAAAAATGAGTTATCTTATCCCGTCCATCTTTTCTCACTTCATGGTCACTGAGACAAAAGCGCTCTTACAACCCCAACAAATAAATATTAGTAGTTCTGGACGGTTTTGACACTTTAGGGTTTTCCTTTTCATACTCCAAGACAACATTTCATAGCACTCGCGCCACCCACGGATAGAAAGTAACACTTCCAACCGTTGTAAATAAATCCTGAAGCTATGCTATTATGATTTGGATGCATCTGTCCATAAGCGAAGCGAAACGGTTTTAACAACGAATCGGGGCAAGTCAAGGTCTCCAATGTTGGGCTGCCCTAGGCAACAGGGTCTCCACTTTTGCATCATCTCCTAAAAGGGCGAGGGGTGCTCTAGAGGGAGCAAGAAGTTTGTATCGTCGGCTCCCCAGTTACTTAATTAGCCCAGGCTCCAGCGAGTCCCAGGTCCTTCTTGCCCATTCCTGCGCTTGGCGAGGGGACTGGCCCTCTTTCGGGGTCCCGAACCTCAGGTGGGCAAGAAGCACTGTCCAGGCCGCGAGCGACCAGAAGGGGCCCTCCGGGCGGCGAGGCAGCGGCGCCGCCCCCTTCCCTCCCTTAGCTTTGGTTTTTCCAGTCCGGGGAGTCGCCACCGCCCACTTTCTAGCAGGACAAACAGCAGCCCGGCCTGGGAACAGCACTTACCCACGTCCTGCTCGAAGGGGTTGGCGGCGAACAGAGGCATCTCGTCGACACGCGCGCCCTAGTCACGGCCTGGCTGAGACCGGCAGCTGCTCCGGGCTGGGTGAGCCGCAGCCGCAGCTTCCCAGATGGCTCCTGGCTCCGCTCCCGCCGCGTCCCCCTACTTCCTCCACCGCACCTGCCCGAGTCCCGCCTGACCCGCCAGCTCTGGTCCGCGCTCCGCCCCCAATTCCGTCCCGGGCAAGGTCCCGCCAGCTGTGGGCATCCTCTCAGCGTCCCTGTCGCTGCCGCTGCCCGGAGGAGGAGGCAGCCCTTGTTCCAGGCTGCCCTGGGTCAGGCATTCTCTGCGGGCACCTGCCCATTTCTAGGACCCCGGCAAGCCACAGAGTAGGGGACCTTCGGGACCGGAAGTTGTCGCGCCTAAAACAAGGAAACACCGGAGACCGAAGATCCAGTGCTACCGGCGTCACTGTAGGGGCCGTGGTCCTCCGGAATTTTCTGCGTGGGACTGCGGGTTCCTACGCGGCAGGCTGGTCCCTCCAGGCAGCCGTGGACCTGCTGTTGCATTGGCGTCACAGTCCGGTTGCCCTGGAAAGGATGGAACCTCGGGAAGGACGTGGCTGTGAGAGTGGACAAGGGGGTTGGTTCTTCTTTCAGGGGCTTAGGGTGTTGCACCCTCCTCGGTGCCTGAACCTCATCGGAGTAATCAACCCGGGAAGTGGTGGTCAAAGTACCCTTGACTCTGGGGACACCTAACTTTTTGCTTCTATCTTGTTGGCTCAAAAAATACTGCTGTACTCGGGGAGTCCAAAGAGGAATGAGGCACACTCCCGGCCTTCAAGTCGCTGACAGTAGTGTATACATGACACTCCTCATACAGGATATGAGATCTTGATATACGGCAGCGCCCCTCCCCCTTAGCAGAGGAGGATGTGGTCCAAGACCCCCATGGGATGCCTGAAACCTTGGATATTATCCATGTCTTTTGTATACATGCATACCTATGATAAAGTTTAACTTATAAATTAGGCACAGTAAGACATTATTAACAATAACTAATAAAATTAAAGTTATACTGTAATCAAAGTTATGTGAATGACTTTGGGCCCATTATTTATCCTCACCCGAGGACATATTTTTGTTTTTTGTTCAGATAGAGCGGGAGGGAGAGAGAGGAAGAGAGAAAAACATCAACGTGAAAGGGACACATGGAGTGGTTGCCACCCGCACAACCCAACCAGGGCCGGGGACAAACTGCAACCCAGGAACCGAACCCAAGTCTCTCTGGACCATAGGCCGACGCTCTAAATGCTGAGCCAAATGGGCCAGGGCGACTTTGGGCCCATTATTAAGTAAAATAAGAGTTAATTGAACAGAAGCACTACCATAGCACAAAGCGATCTAATGAGGGGGCTTTTAAGTGCCTAATGAGGAGTTAGCACACAGGTTAGATATGCTGGACAAGGGGATAATTTAAGTCTCAACCAGCTGGAGGATGGCTGGAGATTTCATCATGCTCTGCAGAATGCCTTACTATTTAAAACTTATGGATTATTTCTGGAATTTTCCATTTAATATTTTCAGACCACAGTTGACCACAGATAATTGAAACCATGGAAAGCAAAACTGCAGCTCTGGCCAGCATAACTCAGAGCGTCTGCTGGGAGGGCCCAGGGTTCAATACACAGCAACCAATTGATGTGTCTCTCTCACATCCACATTTCTCTCTCTTCTCTTCTCCTTCCTGTTCCCTTAAACTCTCTCTAAAAAAAAAAAAATCAATGGAAAAAATATCCTCAGGTGAGGATTAACAAAACAAACAACAAAAATTCAGATAAGGGTAGACTAGTGTACAGTCAGAGTCACAAATTCAAATTCCCGTAGGATCCAACCAGGTATCTAAACAAATGTGAAAGTGCAAGCACCGTCTCACCCAAATACTCCTCCTCCTTAACCCGGCTTTATTTTCCATAGCATTTCCCATTTCCTGATATGGAATTTACTTATTTTCTGTCTCTCCTCTTACAAATATAAATTCTATGATCAGTTTTGTTCATTGCTGTATCCCCAGCATCTAAAACAATGTCTGGCAAGTAATAGGTGCTCAATAAATACTTTTCAAATGTACCCATGACTGTCTAACCAAACAGCATGTATCTGAAGGTGATAACTACTAGTAAACTTGAGCCATTTGTTGAAGTGTGGGCCCTACCAGAGCTTCAAATTTTAAAATTATTTATTTTAGTATGTTTTTATTGATTTTTTTAGAGTGAGGAAGGGGGAGAGAGAAACATCCATGTGAGAGAGAAACATCAATCAGCTGCCTCCAGCAGCCCGGGCACGTGCCCTGACCAGGAATGGAACCAGGACCTCTCTCAGTCCATAGGACAACGCTCAATCCACTAACCCACACTGGCCGGGCTTAAAATCATTTTTAAATGTTAAGAATTACTTCAATCTTTTAACAACGGAACAAGCAAAACCATTTTACAACCTCTGATACAAAGACTTGATAAATAGAAGAATCTCTACACATGTAATAGATCAGGGAAGTGGTTGCACTTATACTATTAAAATAGGTGCTCAAGTAAGAAACATTTGCAGGTGAAAGGAGCTGGTTTAAAAAAAAAAAATTGACCCTAAGATATTCAAAGTATGTTTGGAGATTATCTGAATGGATTTGTGTAGGATTTAAGGCTTAGTGTTGGACTAGAAAAGAAGGCTAGATAGAGATAAGAGGAAACAGATTGAGAAGAGCCTTAAGAGCAAGCTAATTTTTAACAAAACTTTAGTATATAAGGCACTAGATAATTATTTAAAGATTCCGAGTAGTGGAATAATTTCCCAAAAAGAGTTTCCAAATATTAATCTGATATCGCTGTGTATATGAAAAAGACCCAGGCAGAACAGTTTAGGAGGCTATTGCTTCACTTGAAAACCATAAGCAGAGATCATGTAGAGGAGCTTGTTTTGAAATAAGAGCAAAGAGCTAACGAATTGCCTTTGGGAAGCATTCACATTTTCAAGAGACTCCTTTAGCTGCTCCTCATTTTTAATGGCAAGAATCTGTAGGTATTTCCTTTTCTGTGTGTGTAGTGGGTCTCTTGGTGAACTACTCCCACTAACAACAAATTTTAAGTCACTAGGAGTCAGACTTTGTGTTAGAAACAAGAGGATGAAGATTACTACTTCATCTAATGAAGCTATTGAAAAAATTAAAAATATGTCAGTGGCAGCCCACAAATTCTGGTGTGCAAAGAAATGCGACTTTTTCATTTTTCTATTGTACAGCCTCTTTTGAGCCTGTCTCCCTGATAACAGAAAATAATCTTATTAAATTCAGTCTCCTTTGGGTTTTCTTGGTTTTGGGTTTACCCTCAACAAATCTGATATCCTTACCTCAGACCACTTTCCCCAAACATACAACAAGTTCCATCCCCAGGTGTGTTCTTTCAATTCTGCCAGTACCTATGAAACTTGACCCTAGTTATTTGTCTAGAAACACTGGAGGCAGTTGTGGCAAATCTTGAGAAGAGAAAATAGCATCTTGCAAGGCACTTCCTCGGGTGAGATTTCTGCGTGGTCTTCAGACAAAGGAAGGCCATCAGCTTCTAGCAAGGGCAAGTGCACCACTACTGTCCACAGAGGATTGAGGTAAATCTATCAGCTCAAAGTTCTCAAGAGGATCCACCTAGATATCCCCATTCTAGATCTCAGTCTGATTCCCTTGCAGGGTCCTGACTTTAGGAGACATGCTATGGGTTATGAACTCAACCTGTTTTAAAATTCTGCTACCCTCAACTTTCGGTCAAGATGGTGGCATAGGTAAACGCGGTATCTTGTCCTCCCACAACCACATCAAAGTTACAACTAAACTACAGAACAACCATCATTCAAAACCGCCTGAAATCAGGCTAAATGGAAGTCCTACAACTACGAAATTAAAGAAGCAGCCACACCGAGACTGGTAGGAGGGGCGGAGGCGCAGACAGGCTGGTCCCACACCCACTTGTGGCAGATAAAAATCAGGAGGGACACCTTGGCTGGCAAGGTTCTCCCTGAGGACTGAGGGTTCTCTGTCCTACACCAGGCGCCCCGCTCAGGGTTCCAGTGGCAGGAGAGAAGTCCACATCACTTCTGGCTGTAAAAACCAGGAATTGAGGCTGAGGGAGGCTGAGGCTGCTGGAGCCCCAGGCAGCTCCTCTTAAAGGGCCCATGCATGGACTTACTTGGATTCATGGACTTACTCGGATTTGCACCCTCCAGGCTCCAGCGTTGGGGAAGAAACTTGAAAGGCACTAGAGATGTAAAGGAAGAACTGAGTTGTTTGGCCTGGGGGCAAAGGCTGGACAGACCTGTTGTCAGAGGCCTTTGTTCCTTTGGTGAGCCCTTCCCTGGGGCTGCAGACAGCGGCCATACCTGGGACTCTGGCAATTTGGCTCACACTGGTTGCCCCACCCTGGTGATTCCCTGAGGCCCTGCCCCACCCAACTTTCAGGCCCACCCAAGTTGTTGCCAATTGATTTACCATAGGATTGGCCTGCCTTGGATCCTGCTTCAGGTTTTCCTAAAGTCTTTGAAACAAGCAGCATCTGGTCTCAGCAAGCCCCATACCTCTCATTAAGTGGCCCCAGGCCTGGCACTTGAAACAGCCAGCCTTGGTTCACAATTTGGCTTTTCCTGGGCACTTCCAAGCCTAGCACAAGAAGCAGCCATCTGCAGATCACTTTGTAGCTTATGCCGGGTGGCCCCGGATAGAACACAGGCAGTGGCTGACCTGGCCCCAGAGCCAGCACACCCAGTGGACAGCTTCAGAACACTGTGAAGCACCACCACCCAACCACCTCCACAAGTGACACACTCAAGAAATGAACTCAGTGGGTACCAGAGCCTTGCTGAAGTAAATCTTGCTCTGTGTGGTGGGCCCCCACACAGCTGATCCTCCAAGGTAGTCAGAGGTCAGTGGATAGTGGGCACAGCCAGTCCTTCCAGCTGATTAGCCTGAGTAAAATCCTGTCATTGATGTGCCAAGAGCAATCAAGACTCAATTACAACAGAAGGGTGTAAAGTCCACACGAGGGGTGCACCTCGAGGGCCCAGCTGGGAGATCAGGGAGGCTGTGCCACTGGACCCTACAGGACACCTACTACAACAGGCCACCCTAGG